AATATAAATTTGTAGCACATTATTAATTATAACTTTAATATAATCTAATTATGTTCGTTGAAATTATTTTATATTATTTCAATTCCAATAATATCAGAATTACTCATATTATTATGACACCAATATCGGTATTATATTATGAATTTATTAAATTATTTTCAAAAAATGCATTTATCATCGCCCTTGTGCCAATACCATAAATGTGTAATGGGAATATAAATTTTGGAAATTCACAATTGAATGTGAAATGCAATCAGATGATTCTATAGATCAAAGTTGCTGAAATTTTCTCGCAGTTATAATCACCGTTGCTACGCTACGCGTACACAACATATCATTTTGACAGAAACCAAAAAAGACATTTGCCCCGCTTCTTTACTCGCAAAGTGCAAATTTGCACATTCATGGCAACACGAGAAACGATACACGTTGTTATAAATTTTTCTTGTATTCACAAATGTGAAATTTATGAAAGTATATTTATTTCAGGTATCCAACATTTTATTTTTTTGACATTTCATAATTGCAAGGCAAATCCAGTTATGATGTAATATATAAACGACAGGAATATCTTGGGTGTCAGTTTGAGTTGATAAAAGAGGAAAAAAAATACGTTTGAATTATTTTCCTTGTTCCATTGTCACACTTATTGATCAGTCAATTGCAACACTTTTGTGATTGCATATTATAATATGATTTCAAGCAAATTAACAGATTTGTTTGAAATCATATCATAAATGTTAACGTTGTTAATTTTTCCGTATTATCATTAATCATAATACAATATAATATAGATTTGTTATATATTATATTAAATATATAATATAAAATCGATTCGACCATCGACTCGCTCGTTTTCTTTCCCGCGCCTCCGTTCTTACGAATGACGACATCACACAAATTACAAGGAATTTTTCTCGTATTCACAAATGTGAAATTTATGAAAGAATATTTATTTCGGGAATCCCACATTCTACTTTTTTTGACATTTCATAATTTGCATGACAAGTCCAGTTATGATGTGATGTAAACGACAGAAACATCTAGGAAGTCATTTTGAGTTGATAAAAGAGAACAAAATACGTTTCTATTGTTCTATATTATATACAATAATTTACCCTGAAAATCATCTAATCATGGGACAACATAGCATTTTGAAGAACTTTGTGAGAGTTTTCTGAAATTTTACCATACATTTCACTAGTAAAATGTATACCTAACAAGTGAAAGTATAATTACTAATAAAAGGTATGATAAAATTTCCAAAAACTCTCATAAAATTCTTCGAAATGCCACGCTGTCCGACGATTACATGATTTTCCGGATAAATTAAGAAAAAATCCGTGTACAATCGATTACATAATTACCTTAATTCGTCATTTAACCTTCTATTATTTATGTTACACTTATCTGATCGCTAGAGAGAAGAAATGCAAGAATAGAGAATAGAGGAAAGAGGCCCTGACGTTCTTTCGTAAGTCGGTTAAAGCCAAGCTCTTTTTCCCGTCTAGGAATACTGTTCTCAGGTAGCAGCCGCTGCGCGCGCGACCGCAATTGCTCCGATCGCATAGTATTGTTGCATTAGAATACACGCGAGCCTATGTTGCGCATAATAGTAGAGATACTATCGTCGACAGGAATACGCTTATGGGCTGTAAGGCGATCCGATTCAGCGTAGAATTACGAGTGGCGATTGCGTTACGCGACCGAGCAAAAATGCAGCGCGGTGATTCAATGAGAAGCGGCGTTCGATCTCCGATCGGTTGCAACGAATAGAGAGAATTTTCTGCTATGTAAATAAATTTATGAATATTCCGCGGACAAACTGAGAAAGAAGCGTAATTACACACATGTATATCCGTGTGTGCAATTAGATATCGCGAAATTGTTTGTATGGCTCTTCATGAAAAGTTGATTTTATTCATCCATCAGGAAGTAAATATTTATGAAAAATAATTACTGTTTGCCGAATGTTAATCAGAGAAACTAGGGCAGCGCGGGTCAAAGAAAAGATCGTGATAGCACAAAACCGGTTATCAATTACGAATAGGGGGGAGGGGGCGGGAGAGGGCGGGAGGGGGGGGAGATAACCGATAATCAATAAACTCCCATTAGCGTTGAAATTTTGTGTCACGAAAACGCGTAAAGGCCAGGGATAAGGGGACGTTATCAACGGAGAACGGAGCGGGACCGGAAGATGGGTTACGCTACGAAACGAAAACACGCGTCGCGCCGACGGTGCAGTTTAACCGCGAACAACGCGATAAAAAGACAAAAACGGCGGGAAAAAAATATAGGGGTAAAAAAATAAAAACGCCCGCCGCGCGCGCAGGTGCGGCCGTCGATCATCGAGCGCGCGCGGTGCACGCGGTGCGGAGGCAATAAAATATGTCAAACGGTGTCTAAAACGACCCGGTGAAATTTTTAGCGGGGCATTACCATTGCAAATCCGCGCGCGCGCGCGGCTCGGCGACCCGCGCTGTAAAAGCACGATCGGTACCCGCGGAAACGGCTGTCGCGAGGCGGAATTATCCGGCGACCGCGATCGACGACCGTGCGAATTTGTCACGCGATCGACGCGATTGTTGACGCGAGGACGCGTCGTCTCCGGCGTGCATGCAAATTGCCAGGCAAAAATTATTCCGCGAATTATTGTTGCGATCGTAATTGCCGCTCGGCAAGGAAACGCTATTCGTCTGTGCTGTTCGTTACCTCCGTTTTCGCTGTCTTCCTCGCTGGGAGGTGAGAAAATGAAATAAATACGTTGAAAACCTTTTTCTTGTACCGTTAATTTCACAATATTTTTTTACAATAACTGTTTCACACTTGACAGACTGCACTCATATACCGACTCAGATTAAAATTTGATTTATTAGTGGAAATATACGAGCAAAAGATTGCACTTGATGAGAATATCTCGTGCAACTGTTTTTGCCCTTCGGTAGTCATTCGTGATGAATATGCAATAAGAATGTCACGTGTCTTCACGAAATTGCGATCTTGTTATCCACGCAAGCGAATCAATGCAGTTAAGTTAATATCAAGACGTGGGATTGACCGATAGAAATCGGTATTTTTTATCGCTCTTTTCCCGAGCCACTCAGACAGAAATGATAACTTCGATGCGTGATCGTAATGATTGATCATTATCATATTTCTGTGCACGTACTCGCGTGCATGAATATTAATATAGCGAATCTGTTTGTTTTCGAAATTACGCGTCTACCTTTATATATTAAATCGCAAGCTTCATGCGTTTTACCGTAAAAAAAAACCATATGTCCTTTTACAATAAGCAATATTCTAGCAACAATATGCAATAAGTTAAGAATGCCTGATACAAATATTATCCCTTTTCTAGGAAAACATGCTATGTAAATTACTGTTGCGATCGTAATTGCCGCTGGGCAAGAAAAATCGCTATTTGTCAGCTGTTCATTGCTATCTCCGTTTTCGCTGTCTTCCTGGCTGTACATTAGTGGCAAGATGAGAAAATGAAATAATATGTTGAAAATCATTATTTTTTTGTATCGTCATTGTTGCAATATTTTTTTTATACAATATGCTGTTTCATACTTGACACTCGTATACCGCTTCAGATTAAAATTTGATTTACTGGTGGGAATGTACATACAAGTAAAACAAGGTTGCATAAGAGTATTTCGTGCAACTGGTTTTGCTCTTCGGTATTAATCATTCGCGATGAGTATGCAATAAGAAATCGCGTGTCTTCGCGAAGTTGCGACCTTGTTATCATTGCAAGCGGCCAATCAATGCAGTTAAGCTAATATTAAGACTTGTGATTAACAGGTAGAAATCGCTTATATTTTTGTCCCGAGCCACTCGGGCAAAAATTATAATTACGAAGTAATAAAGGAGGAAGAGCCAAGACAGGACGTTAGTTAAATAATTTTAATTTTAAGTCTATTGCGAAAAAATAATACCTCAGCCAGGGTTTTAACCTGGACCTCCCTCTCAGGCTCAGGACCTCCCTAAAAAAATACTACGGGAGTGACGATCCGTGGGGTCCTTATCTCTGCTGTGGCACACGCACACGCGCACGCACACACACGCGCACGCACACACACACACACGCGCGCGCGCACACACACACACACACACGCGCACACACACACACACACACAGAAGCGAGGGTTTGGAGTAAAAAAATACTACGGAAGTGACGATCCGTGGAGTCCTTATCTCTGCTATGACACACACGTAAACGCACACGCACGCGCCCACACGCACACACACGATGCGCAATATCCGACCTTCTCATAGTACTCATTGGGTTATGCTAATGCTGGCAGTTACAGGCATAAATAGACTAAATGCATAGGTAACTTTGATACATCATAACTCCGCCAAAAAAAATCACACAGACTTCAATTTTTTTTATGTGTAGGGGAAAGTTCATATTTTACAATGAATTCTCATAGAGTTTGAGAAAAAAATTAATCGCACCCCGTGAAGCGCGTCAAGCTATGAAAACTTTTACAGACAAAACACGTCCTTACTTTTAAAGACATCACGATAAGGGGAACAGAGATATTCAAAATATGAAATTCTCTGTAAAGTAGAGATTTCTAGCTTCAAAATAAAAAATATCTAATGCGATAAGTTTTCGCGAAGTTACGATCATTTGAAGTTGAGTGAAATTTCGGTATAAAATTTTGTCGCGTTAATTTTGTTGCAGTGTATATAAATGCTACTGAAGATCATTATTTGTCGGAAAAATGCATTATGATGAAAATTCCAAATTATTTAAAATAATTTAAACAATTTTAAAAAACAATTAACACACAATTTAAAAGAGCACTTAAGAGAGTTTGCTGTAACAAGGACATTATTGGTGCCGTTTTATTGTAAAAAATAAACACTATATGTTTTATTGTATATATTCATCGCAAATGATTAATACCGAGGACAAAAACAGCGGTATACATTCACTACTAATAATAGAATAAAAACAGGAGACGAGAATGTCTGTCACTTACTGATCACATCAAACTGGGGCAGCCATTTCTTAACCATAACGTTGTCCAGCTTGTATGGTAGTTCGTGAGTCTCCCACTTTAAGATCGCTTTCCGTGGTATTGAGCCAATCGTCTTTAATATCGCGTCCAGCTTCTCTCGCGGCATCGTAGACATCCTGATCATGGAACCAAAATTGAAATACAGTACTCCTTCATGAGCGTCATCGAGGAACTTGGCTATGTCCCTCGGCAGCGGGTTGATCTTGGGCGGAATATGAATCCCACCGATTTCCACTACATTCGGTAGTTGAGGTCTGCTGCCGTGAATGCTACTGTGGGTGTTGACCAGCAACGCCTGCGACTGCTGGGCGATTTCTTTCAGCTTGGGAAGATCCGGACCGAAGATTTCGTTGGCGATGAGTTGATCGTCAGGTCGAAACCAATACTCGTAAACGATTTTATACAATGGCTGCCACAGTGCATTTTGCATTCGACTGAAGAAATTTAAAGGTCTAGTTAGGCCGAGGAATAACACCGGGATGTAGCTAGGATCGTCCGCGTTACCCATGTCGTTGTTGGTCCACGGCATAATTTGATGCGACGAGAAGGCCAAATAGGGTGCTTTAAATCGATGAATAAAGCCCAGATAACAATCGGTGTTGAAGTTCTCTGTGAGGATCACGTCGAACTTTTCGTCAGATTGAAGGAATTCTTTAACGGCCGCATTCCGCAGACCGATATTACATGCACGATCTGCGAAGAACTTGAGCCTGTGAAAGTCCTGCATAGGGCGGAACCACGTTTGTTTGAGCTTATGGAGATCAATCACGTTCATGAAAATGCCGATCTTGGGATCTACCAAATTGATATCCTTATAATTGGGAAGTGGCTCCTTCGCCTTGGCACTGTCGGTTCTGGGAAAAAAGGAGATCACTGTGAGCTCGTGGCCTCTCCGAGCTAATTCCTCCAGAAGCGGCTTGAACACGTCGAAGTGACTCTTGGCAAGATGTCCGAAGACAGCAAGCACTTTGAGTTTCGTTTTATCACTATTCACGAACACAGTTCGATTGGCAGCCAAACAGCATGTAGAGAACACCACGATCAAGAGGAGAACGACAGACGAATGTATCTTCGGCATTTCGCGGGTATGTCGAAGTAAGTCTAGTTCAAGTGGATGCAAGTAACGATCGATCGTCGCCACAGGCCTTCACCGACGAACTGGCAGTCAGTTAATCAGTGCATCTATCTGTTACTTCGGTGTGTAGCCGACTGTTCGAGTGCCTAGTCGACGATCGCCAGCAATTACGTTATTAATATAACACAGTGGTAGGGGTATCCCACGTGTGTATCTCTTCGCTTGTGCTTCTCTGCGAGAGAGATAATATAATCTCTTAGTGCAATAGTGACTGTTCAGCCAAAGCAAGTTGACACGATATGAGTAGTCTATGCACTATCAGGATAATAATAAATGTCATTTTATCGATGCAATGACATGATGATAATGAATGATAATTTATGGACGTGAAGTTTTGCATTCGCGAGGATGTACAAACTTTATTTATTATATAATCCTGAGCTTTCGAAAATGTCGACATTTTTTCTGAAATCAATATGTATGTTGCTAACCTGGAAAAATTAATAGTTCTATTGATTCCATTCATAGAACAGCTATTAAATTTTGTATATCAATGAATGATCAGTTGATAAGTTGCCACAGCCAAAGATTATGTATTCAATTCCTGACGGAAAAAGAAACACTTGACAGATAATGAAAATGTATTTTTTCATTTTCTTTCCTATTTGATACAGTATTGCATCGTTTTAAATAAGCCTACAAATCTCTTATTCACACTTATTTTCTCTCTTCTTGATAAGTTATTTTATTCTATTGTGGAACTTATACCGAAACTTGGTTTACAATTTGAAATTGAACATTCATACCTTCAATACTTTTGCTATCTAACATGACACTGCCAATCCTATTACTTCTTATATTTTTTCTTATCCGCGTTATTGAAACAAATAATAAAAAATTATAAATTTGAAGCGTGATTGTAATAATTAAGCATTATCATATTTTTGTGCGCGGACTCACGTACATGAATATTAATATAGCGATAATACAGCGATATAATATTAATAATCTAACTACTAAGTTTATTTTCGAAGTTACGTGTCTATCTTTATATGTCAAATTGCAAAATTCGTGCATTTTATCATAAAAAAAATATGTCCCCTTGCACAACAAGCAATAAATATTCTCGCAACAATCTATTCTAATATTATAACGCGAGAGAGTTTGTCTGTTTGTTGGTTTGTCCTCGATAATCCCTTAAATTAATAGACCGATTGACTTGAAATTTTAACACAAGTTCCCTTAGCTAGGGAGTGTCATAGGCTATGTATTTTTTTGCTTTGCGTATCAGGGGAGCGCGTATGTGCAGATAATTTCTTTTTCTAATTGATCGATTAAATTGAAATTTTTACACAGGTTTTCTTAGCCTCTCGGGATTGTCATATATGTATGTTATCAACTTTGCGCATCAAGGCATAACGCATGCTTAATTTTAGTCAGCAAAATGTTAACAGATTGGCAGCAGATTCATCAGAAACCCACACCAAAACCATAGCCATCTGTGTCCACATTTGGCTTCTGTTTTGGCAACAGAGTCTGTAAAACATACACTGCCAACAGATTGTCGGCAGAAACCGAGCGGGTCCAGTTATGTGAGCAGATTTTGTTGTATTTCAGCTGACATTCTGGCAACATGTCGAATATATCAGTTTCTGTATACAATCCGCAGTTTTTCTTCCTTCAAAATTTCTAGTCGACATTTGACGAAATATGTTCTGGCAGATTTGGCTATCTGGGATTCTTTATATAATTGCGGTACATATAATGTAACGCAATTAACAATGTACTGATTGAAATTTTTAGGCAGATGGAGCGCTTTGTTGTTTTTCTTTTTCTTTTGATAATTTTTTAAAAAGAATAAATTATCCATATATAAAAAAGGCATGAAAGCCCATTTTTATCGCTTTTGGACTCTAGGGTGTTGTAACTCCCTCAGAGAGTTTAGAAGAACATTATATACACGTGCCGTTTTATTGTAAAAAATAAATACTTCATATTTAATGTACGTAACTTTGAAAAAAAAATGTATTCTTATCGTAAACATAACGCATCGGCCTTACTACTAAAATTATCCTTAAGCAAAAATACAACTGAAAATGTTCTCGTTACATTTTCAATTTATGGTCTTATTTTGAAAATACTGTAAAATAAATTCTTCATGCATATATTCATCGCGAATGATTAATACAGATGACAAAAACAGCGGTATACATCTACTTGGCATAAAAAAGGAGAAGAGAACATTTGTCCTTTCACTTACTGATTACGTCGAACTGGGGCAGCCATTTCTTAACCATAACGTTGTCCAGCTTGTACGGCAGTTCGTCAGTCTCCCACTTCACAATCGTTTTCCGCGGTATTGAGCCAATCACCTTTAACATCGCCTCCAACTTATCTCGCGGCATCGAAGATATCCTGATCATGGAGCCGAAACTGATATACAGCACCCCCTCATGGGCGTCATCGAGGAACTTGGCTACGTCCTTCTGCAGCGGGTTGATCTTGGGCGGAATATGAATCCCACCGACTTCCACTACATTCGGTAGTTGAGGTCTGCTGCCGTGAATGCTACTGTGGGTGTTGACCAGCAACGCCTGCGACTGCTGGGCGATTTCTTTCAGCTTGGGAAGATCCGGACCGAAGATTTCGTTGGCGATGAGTTGATCGTCAGGTCGGAACCAATACTCGTAGACTATTTTATACAATAGCTGCCACAGTGCATTTTGCATTCGACTGAAGAAATTCAGAGGTCTAGTGAAGCCGAAGATTACCATCGGGATGTAGCTGGGATCATCCGCGTTACCCATGTCGTTGTTGGTCCACGGCATGATTTGAAGCGATGACAAGCTCAAGTAGGGTGCTTTAAAACGAGAAATAAAGCCCAGATAACAATCGGTGTTGAAGTTCTCTGTAAGGATCACGTCGAACTTTTCGTCGGATTGAAGGAATTCTTTAACGGCCGCATTCCGCAGACCGATATTACATGCATGATCTGCGAACGCCTTGAGCATGTGAAGCTCCTGTATAAGACGGTACCACGTGTGTTTGATCTCCTGCAGATCAATCACGTTCAGGAAGATGCCAGACTTGGGATCTACCAAATTGATATCCTTATAATTGGGCAGCGGCTCTTTCGCCTTGGCACTGTCGGTTCTGGGGAAAAACGAAATCACAGTGAGCTCGTGGCCTCTCCGAGCTAATTCCTCCAGGAGTGGCTTGAACGCGTCGAAGTGACTTTTGCCAGGATGTCCGAAGACAACAAGCACTTTGAGTTTCGTTTTATCACTACTCACGAACACGGTTCGATTGGCAGCCAAACAACATGTAGAAAACACCACGATCAAGAGAAGAACGACGGACGAATGTACCATCTGCATTTCGCGGGTCTGTCCAAGTAAGTTTAGTTCAAGTGGATGCAACTAATCGGTATTTTCACAAAGTAACGATCGATCGTCGCCATAGACCTTCACCAACGAACTGGCGATCAGTCAATCAGTGCGTCTATCTGTTACTTCGGTGTACAGCCGACTGTTCGAGTGCATTCGACGCCTATTCCACGTTCGCTAGCAAGTACGTTATGACTATGACACAGTAGTAGGGATATTCTACGTGTACGTCTCACCGCTTGTGCTGCTTTGTGAGAAATAACATATTCTCTTAACTTAATAGTGACAGTTCAACCAAAGCAAGTTGACCCAACATGAGTGGTATATGCGCTGCCAGGATGATAAATACCAATTTATCGTTGGAATAAAATGGTGATAATGAATGATAATTAATCGGCGTGAATTTTTGCCTTTGCGAGGATGTACAAACTTCATTTATTATATAATCCTTAGATTTTAAAAATGTCGAAATTTTCTCTGAAATCATTTTATAAGTTATGTAAGTATTATATAACGTAAATGTACTTCACATATTATTTTCAAAAGAAGACCGTAAATTGGAAGTCTACCGAGAACATTTTGAGTTTTATCTTTGCTTAACAGAAGTGCCAAGGTCGATGCATTATGTTTGATAAGAATACAATTTTCTTACAAATTGCGGGTATTAAACCTAATTTATTCTCACTGGAACGGCACGTGTCAATAACGCTTTTGTTACAGTACAAAGTCTCTTAAGTGCTCTTTCAAATTGTTTTTATTTGTTTTTCATAAATAGTTAAATTACTTTAAAACCAGATACGAAGTAATAAAGGATATACGAGCCAAGACGGATCTTAGTGTGTAAATGATTTCAAATTTTAAATTTCGTGCAAAAAATTTATCTCAGCCAGGGTATGAAGCAGGACCTCCCTCTCACTAAGCCGGCGTCTTACCAATGCAACCACAGATATGTGATAATATTTGTCGCAATAAACAGTCTAACGTTATTTCACGAAAGTCACATATCGTGACTAAATTCGAAATAGAACTGCGCGCCGACATTGTTGTCAGTCTTATAAAACAGCAAAAATGTGTATACCTTTAATGCCCCCCCCCCCCCCCACCCGTATAACGAATGAAGATCGAGAAACGCTATTTTTCATCCAGCGTAGACCTGGGTAACAATTCACCCTGGCTGAGGTAAATTTTTCGCAATTACCATCGATAAAATTTGAAATTTAAAATGTAAAAAAATTTTTTTTAATATTGCGTATTTATCTCAACTGACTAGCCTAAGAGCAAACCGAGCAGTATACATCTACTTCGTACCAAAAAAAAGGAGAAGAGTACACTTGTCCTTTCACTTACTGATTACGTCGAACTGGGGCAGCCATTTCTTAAGCATAACGTTGTCCAGCTTGTATGGTAGTTCGTCAGTCTCCCACTTCATAATAGTTTTCCGCGGTATTGAGTCAATCACCTTTAATATCGCGTCCAACTTCTCTCGCGGCATCGAAGACATCTTGATCATGGAACCAAAATTGAAATATAGCACTCCTTCATGAGCGTCATCGAGGAACTTCGCTATGTCCTTTGGCAGCGGGTTGATCTTAAACTGAATATGAATCCCACCGATTTCCACTACATTCGGTAGTTGAGGTCTGCTGCCGTGAATGCTACTGTGGGTGTTGACCAGCAACGCCTGCGACTGCTGGGCGATTTCTTTCAGCTTGGGAAGATCCGGACCGAAAATTTTGTTGGCGATGACTTGATCGTCAGGTCGAAACCAATATTCGTACACTATTTTAGCCAATGACTGCCACAGTGCATTTTGCATTCGACTGAAGAAATTTAGAGGTCTAGTGAGGCCGAGCATTATCACCGGGATGTAGCTGGGATCGTCCACGTTGCCCATGTCGTTGTTGGTCCACGGCATGATTTGATGCGACAACAGGGCTAAGTAGGGTGCTTTAAATCGATGAATAAAACCCAGATAACAGTTAGTATTGAAGTTCTCGGTGAGAATTACATCAAACTTTTCGTCAGATTGAAGTAATTCTTTAACGGCCACATTTCGTAGACATGTATTACATGAATGATCTGCGAAGAACTTGAGCATGAAAAGCTCCTGCATAGGACGGTACCACATGTGTTTGATCTCATGGAGATCAATCATGTTCACGTGAATGCCGATCTCGGGATCCAAATTTATGTCATTATAATTGGGCAGCGGCTCCTTCGCCTTGGCACTGTCGGTTCTGGGGAAAAACGAGATCACAGTGAGCTCGTGGCCTCTCCGAGCTAATTCCTCCAGAAGCGGCTTGAACACGTCGAAGTGACTCTTGCCAAGATGTCCGAAGACAACAAGCACTTTGAGTTTCGTTTTATCACTATTCACGAACACGGTTTCATTGGCTGCCAAACAGCATGTAGAAAACACCACGATCAAGAGGAGAACGAAGGACGAATGTATCCTCTGCATTTCGCGGGTATGTCGAAGTAAGTCTAGTTCAAGTGGATGCAAGTAATCGCTAATTTCACTTGTAAGTAACGATCAATCGTTGCCATAGGCCTTCACCGTCGAACTGGCAGTCAGTCAATCAGTCCGTCTATTTATTGCTTCGGTGTATAGCCGAATGTTCGAGTGCATTCTACACCTATTCGACGTTCGCTAACAACTGCGTAATTAATATGACACAGTGGTAGGGGTATCCGACTCGTGTGTCTCACCGTTTGGGTTAGGTCGATACATTCTTTGCGAGAAATAATGTATTTTCTTAGGGTGATAGTGACGGTTCAACCAAAGGAAGTTGACACAAAATGAGCGGTATATGCACTCTCGGGATAATAAATACCAATGTATCGTTGGAATAAAATGATGATAGTAAATAATAATTAATAGACGTACATTTTTGCCTTTGCGAGGATGTACGAACTTCATTTATTATATAATCCTTAGCTTTCGAAAATTTCGAAATTTTCTCTAAACTCATTATATAAGTTACATAAGTATTATATAACGTAAATGTAATTCATATATTATTTTAAAAATAAGATACAGTAAAACGTCCCACATCTGCGCCGGTCGGGACCGGAACTGACCCAACATCTGCGTCAGAAAGCGGCGGTGGTGGGGGAGCTACCTTTTGAAAACGCGAAGATGTGGGACGGAAACTAGCGAAGATATGGGACGCGCGCAGATGTGGGAAGCGCAGATGTGGGACGTTTTACTGTAATTGGAATACTACTGAGAACATTTTGAGTTTTATCTTGGCTTAACGGTAATTTGAGTAGCAAGGTCGACACATTGTGATAAGAATACAATTTTCTTACAAATTACGGGTATTAAACCCAATTTTCTTTTCACTGGAACGGCACTTGTCAATAATGCTTTTGTTACAGTACGAAGTCTCTTAAGTGCTCTTTCAAATTGTTTTTATTTGTTTTTTCTAAATAGTTAAATTACTTTAAAACCAGATACGAAGTAATAAAGGATATACGAGCCAAGACGGATCTTAGTGTGTAAATGATTTTAATTTTTAAATTTCGTGCAAAAAATTTATCTCAGCCAGGGTATGAAGCAGGACCTCCCTCTCACTAAGCCGGCGTTTTACCAATGCAACCACCGAGACATGTGATAATATTCGTCGCAATAAACAGTCTAACGTTATTTCCAGGGTTGGGAAGTAACTCGTTACTTGTAACGAAGTTACAGTTACAGTTACTTCTTTTTGGTAACTCTAACTTAACTTCGTTACTTTCTCTACATCTGTAACTGTAACTTAACTCAGTTACATTTTTTCGATAACTAGTAACTAATTTAATAGTTACATTAAGAGTTACTTTATATATTTTTTCAACCTCCACAGATCGCATTAGGCCTTGATCCATTTGCACATAAACGCCTTTATCGCCGCTTTACAATTCAAATGCAGATTCGATATTATTATTTTTATTGCAAGGGAGTAACTGCAAAGTAACGATTCGTTACTTTTCGAGTAACCGTAACTGTAACGCGTTACTTTTCGGAATTGGTAACTTGTAACTGTAACTAGTTACATTGTTAGCGAAAAAACTGTAACTGTAACTAGTTACTTTTATAAAGTAACTTTCCCAACCCTGGTTATTTCACGAAAGTCACATATCGTGACTAAATAGAACTGCGCGCCGACATTGCTGTCAGTCTTATAACACAGAAAAAATATGTATACCCTTTATTGCCCCCCCCCCCCAGCCATATAACGAATGAAGATAAAGAAACGCTATTTTTCATCCAGCGTAGACCTGGGTACCAATTAGGGCTCGAATTTTATTCCGTTTTTCGAATAAACGTTTAAACGTGAAACGTTTATCCGTTTACATTTTCTTCCAGAAAAACGTTTATTTGTAGAAAAACGTTTACACGTTTAAACGTTTACTAAAGGTTTAATAAACGTTTAATATACAGGGTGGACCATTTTAACCTTTAATGGAGAATAACTCGACCGGTAAGCGAAATAATAAAAAATGTTTCAGACAAAAGTTGTTTGGTTTCGAGGGGGTCATAAGATGGTACCATTGGTTTGACCTTGAAGAATTATTTGAAGGTCACATAAAGGTCACACCAATTTTTTTAACTGGCATCCCCTATTTTTTATAACATATTCTTCTAGCTGACCTTGAGAGCTTTCCAAAACGCTATAATAAAGTATTTTTTATTAAGAACTTTTTGAGTTACTAAGGTTTGAAATTTCCAATATTTTGACATAAATTACAAAATACCTTGTAAAATATTCATTTTTTTATCATCTTACCTTAATGCTTTTTTTAACAGAATAATGATACAAATCAACCGGTGTAAAGGTAACACACAATTGTTAAAAAAACGTTTAATAAACGTTTACACGTATGTTAGAGCCTAGTAAACGTTTCAACGTTAAACGTTTGTTAAGTAAAAACACGTATTCGGAAAAACGTTTCTAATAAACGGATAGCTAATTATACGTATAAACGTGTTTCCGTTTAAACGTATAATAGCGAGCCCTAGTACCAATTCACCCTAGCTGAGGTAAATTTTTCGAAATTACCATCGATAAAACTTGAAATTTAAAATGTAAAATTTTTTTTTAATATTGCGTATTTATCTCAACTGACTAGCCTAAGAGCAAACCGAGCAGTATATGGTACATCTACTTCGTACAAAAAAAAGGAGAAGAGTACACTTGTCCTTTCACTTACTGATTACGTCGAACTGGGGCAGCCATTTCTTAAGCATAACGTTGTCCAGCTTGTATGGTAGTTCGTCAGTCTCCCACTTCATAATAGTTTTCCGCGGTATTGAGTTAATCACCTTTAATATCACGTCCAACTTCTCTCGCGGCATCGAAGACAACTTGATCATGGAACCAAAATTGAAATATAGCACTCCTTCATGAGCGTCATCGAGGAACTTCGCTATGTCCTTTGGCAGCGGGTTGATCTTGGACGGAATATGGAGTCCACCGATTTCCACTACATTGGGTAGTTGAGGTCTGCTGCCGTGAATGCTACTGTGAATGTTGGTCAGCATCGCCTGCGACTGCTGGGCGATTTCTTTCAGCTTGGGAAGATCCGGACCGAAAATTTTGTTGGCGATGACTTGATCGTCAGGTCGAAACCAATACTCGTACACTATTTTAGCCAATGACTGCCACAGTGCATTTTGCATTCGACTGAAGAAATTTAGAGGTCTAGTGAGGCCGAGCAGTATCACCGGGATGTAGCTGGGATCGTCCACGTTGCCCATGTCGTTGTTGGTCCACGGCATGATTTGATGCGACGACAGGGCTAAGTAGGGTGCTTTAAATCGATGAATAAAACCCAGATAACAGTCGGTGTTGAAGCTCTCCGTGAGGATTACGTCGAACTTTTCGTCGGATTGAAGGAATTCTTTAACGGCCGCATTTCGCAGACCGATATTACATGCGTGATCTGCGAAGAACTTGATCGTGAAAAGCTCCTTCATAGGACGATACCACGGGTGTTCGATCTCATGGAGATCAATCACGTTCACGTAAACGCCGGTCCCGGGATCTACCAAACTGATATCCTTATAATTGGGCAGCGGCTCCGTCGCCTTGGCACTGTCGGTTCTGGGGAAAAACGAGATCACAGTGAGCTCGTGGCCTCTGCGAGTTAATTCCTCCAGAAGCGGCTTGAACACGTCGAAGTGACTCTTGCCAAGGTGTCCGAAGACAGCAAGCACTTTGAGTTTCGCTTTATCACTATTCACGAACACGGTTTGATTGGCTGCCAAACAGCATGTAGAAAGCACCACGATCAAGAGGAGAACGACGGACGAATGTATCCTCTGCATTTCGCGGGTATGTCGAAGTAAGTTCAAGTGGATGCAAGTAATCGCTAATTTCACTTGTAAGTAACGATCAATCGTTGCCATAGGCCTTCACCGTCGAACTGGCAGTCAGTCAATTAGTCGGTCTATTTATTGCTTCGGTGTATAGCCGAATGTTCGAGTGCATTCTACGCCTATTCGACGTTCGCTAACTACGTAATTAATATGAAACAGTGGTAGGGGTATCCGACTCGTGTGTCTCACCGCTTGGGTTCTTTGCGGGAAATAATGTATTCTCTTAGGGTGATAGTGACGGTTCAACCAAAGGAAGTTGACACAAAATGAGCTGTATATGCACTCTCGGGATAATAAATGCCAATGTATCGTTGGAATAAAATGATGATAGTAAATAATAATTAATAGACGTACATTTTGGAATACATTTTGCCTTTGCGAGGATGTACGCACTTCATTTATTATATAATCCTTAGCTTTCGAAAATGTCGAAATTTTCTCTAAACTCATTTTATAAATTACATAAGTATTATATAATAAAATGTAATGTAAATCTATTAAAATGTATTTAAAAATGTATTATATAATAAAAAAGTAAATGTAATTCATATATTATTTTAAAAATAAGATAATAAATTGGAATACTACCGAGAACATTTTGAGTTTTATCTTGGCTTAACGGTAATTTGAGTAGCAAGATTGATACATTGTGTTTGATATGAATACAATTTTCTTACAAATTGCGGGTAGTAAACCTAATTTTCTTTTCACTGGAACGCCACGTGTCAATAATGCTTTTGTTACAGTACAAAGTCTCTTAAGTGCTCTTTTAAATTGTTTTTCCTAAATAGTTAAATTATTTAAAATGCCAGATACAAAGGTTATAAAGTAATAAAGGTTATAAAAGCCAAGACGAATGTTAGTAGTTATTGGTGTAAATTATTTTAATTTGTAAAATTGCAACAAAACGTTATCTCAGCCAGGATATGAACCTTGACCTCCCTATCACTAAGAGGGCGTCTTACCAATGCAACCACCGAGGCATGTGGTAATAGTCGTCGCAATAAACAGTCTAACGGTTATTTCATACGAAAGTCACGTATCGTGACTAAATTCGAAATAGAACCGCGCGCCGACATAATTGTCAGTCTTATAACACAGAACAAATATGAATACCCCTCACTGCCCTCCTTCCCTCCATATAACTAGTAAGAGTAAAGAAACGTTATTTTTCATCCAGCGTAAACCTACGCACAGTGGTCCGAACGGAGAACATTCTGTTCAGAAAAGGCTACAAGTCGTGTTTCTTAACCGATTTCAATGTTTAACCGACAGTAATGTTTAACCAATAGCAATGTTTCTTGAACAGAAATACTCGGAAATAAATTCTGAAGAGAACTGTGAGAGCCGAATTTTATGTTTATTTAGGTTTCTTACTCAGTATATAGTGTGTTATATCTACCATATAAATATTGAATGGTTTTTTAACACCCTGTATATACACTTCATCTTAAAACGTCCTACAGATATTCTTCATTTATCAGCTGTCATTTCATAATGCTTCGTTTTGCACTTTGTTACCAATGTCCATTTATCACAGCACTCGTCAATTTACTTCCAATATATAGATAACATTGCGCATTATACAACGGATTAAACTGAGAAAGATTTCTACGAAAGATTATTAAAATCTGGAAAAAAGAATAATCTCAAATTTCTTTCCAATCATTAAAACGTTCGATAATACGCGTCACATATATTACCTTCTCACACCGCGAAAGTGGACGTTAAAAACCGCCCGTCGCCACTAAACAAATGTTTACCTAGCGACTACAATTAATACAATCTCAAGTCACAGATGTGTAATTGGAAAAGATGGCATTATCGTTATCACGTTGGCTACATGTCACATATGTGTGGCGTGTCGGCACTCACCGCAAACGCGAGATTAATCCGTGTTTCGTTGCGTTAATTAAACTAATTCGGAGTCCAATCGATGTCTAAACTGGGTATACATCTACGAACGAACAACGAACGCGAACGTTCGGAGATTCGCGTTCGTGTTTTAAAAGCGTTCGTTACTTTGATCTTTGATTTATCGCCTCATGAGGGAATCGAGCCGAACGCGAATGGAATGTTGTGTTCGCATTTGCTTCGGCGTATAAATCTGCTGAATGATAACAAGAAACGTTCGCGTTTGCTGCGCGTTCGGCGTTCGTTTCGCAGATAGTGAACTCAGCTTGAGAAAATATCGACTTCTATCGGTCAACCACAAATCTTAATATTAACTTAACGGCATTACTCAGTATCTTCCAATGCTAACAAGATCGCAATTTCGTGAGGATACGTGACATTTTTATTGCATATTCATCGGTTAAAAAAGAAATTACCATTGATAAAACTTCACAAATAGAAAAGAAATTACCATTGATAAAACTTAACAGATAGAAAAAAATTACCATTGATAAACCTCGAAATTTAAAATTACAAAAAATTACAAAAAATATTGCATATTTATCTCGAATGACTAGCCGAACAAGAAAAACAGCGGTGTACATCTACTGCGCATAAAAAAAAAAGGAGAAGAAAACATTTGTCCTTTCACTTACTCATCACGTCGAACTGGGGCAGCCATTTCTTAACCATAACGTTGTCCAGCTTGTACGGTAGCTTATCAGTCTCCCACTTCAAAATCGCTTTCCGCGGTATTGAGCCAATCGTCTTTAATATCGCGTCCAGCTTCTCTCGCGGCATCGTAGACATCCTGATCATGGAACCAAAATTGAAATACAGCACTCCTTCATGGGCGTCATCGAGGAACTTGGCTATGTCCTTCGGCAACGGGTTGATCTTGGACGGAATATGAAGCCCACCGACTTCCACTATATTCGGTAGTTGAGGTCTGCTGCCGTGAATGTTACTGTATGTGTTGACCAGCAACGCCTGAGACTGCTGGGCGATTCCTTTAAGCTTGGGAAGATCCGGACCGAAGATTTCGTTGGCGATGACTTGATCGTCAGGTCGGAACCAATAGTCGTAGGCTATTTGAGACAATGACAACCACACTACATTTTGCACTCGACTGAAAAAATTTAAAGGTCTAGTGAGGCCGAGGAATATCACCGGGATGTAGCTGGGATCGTTCAAGTTGCCCATATCGTTGCTGGTCCACGGCATGATTTGATGCGACGACAGGGCTAAGTAGGGTGCTTTAAATCGATGAATAAAGCCCAGATAACAGTCGGTGTTGAAGTTCTCCGTGAGGATTACGTCGAACTTTTCGTCGGATTGAAGGAGTTCTTTAACGGCCGCATTCCGCAGACCGATATTACATGCATGATCTGCGAAGAACTTGAGCATGAAAAGCTCCTTCATAGGACGGTACCACGTGTGTTCGATCTCATGGAGATCAATCACGTTCACGAAAACGCCTTTCTCGGGATCTACCAAACTGATATCCCTATAATTGGGCAGCGGCTCCGTCGCCTTGGCACTGTCGGTTCTGGGGAAAAACGAGATCACAGTGAGCTCGTGGCCTCTGCGAGGTAATTCCTCCAGAAGCGGCTTGAACACGTCGAAGTGACTCTTGCCAGGATGTCCGAAGACAGCAAGCACTTTGAGTTTCGTTTTATCACTATTCACGAACACGGTTTGATTGGCTGCCAAAGAGCATGTAGAAAACACCGCGATCAAGAGGAGAACGACGAACGAATGTATCCTCTGCATTTCGCGGGTATGTCGAAGTAAATCTAGTTTAAGTGGATGCAAGTAATCGATAATTTCATTAAGCAACGATCGAACGACGCCGCAGGCCTTCACCGACGAACTGGCAGTCTGTCAATCAGTGCGTCTATCTATTACTTCGGTGTGTAGCCGACTGTTCGAGTGCTTATTCGACGATCGCCAGCAGATACGTTATTAATATGACAGTGGTAGGGGTATCCCCCGTGTGTATCTCTCCGCTTGTTCGTCTCTGCGAGAGAGATAATGTTTTCTCTTAGTGTAATAGTGATTGTCCAACCAAAGCAAGGTGACGTAACATAAGCAGTATAGGCAAGGTCAGGAAGTTAAATAATGCTATTAAAATGCTATTTCATCGTTGGTACGAAGTGATGATAATGAATGATAATTAATGGACGTGAATTTTTGCATTCGCGAGAATGTACAAACTTCATTTATTATATAATCCTTTGCTTTCGGTAATGTGGAATGTTTTCCGAAATTAATGCTAAGCTGGGAAATTAGTAATTCTATTGGTACTATAATATTTATAGAACAGCTGTTAAATTTTTTACATCGATGAATGATTCATTGATAAGTTGCCATATATGTATAGCTAAAGATTATGTATTCAATTCCTGAAATACAATTAAAAATTTGACATATAATAAAAATATGTATGATAATTAAAATGAAAATGTTTTTCATTTTCTTGTCTATTTATTTAACTTAATTTTATATTATCATAATTAATGGCTGATGAATTTGTCTGCAATTAATGTGAAATTCTAGTTAATTAATTGAATTTTTTATTTTGTGATTTTTAGAGCGAGAAGATAGAACATCGCATCTTATATAAGTGCTAATAAAAGCTGCACAGAATATATAATAGAACAGACGTTATTTTTAGTTCTGTGACCGTGGCAATAGGTAACTTATAAGCGGTATTAGTTAGCAAAACATTTATTTTAATATAACTGAATCATCAAGTAATATCTTAAATTTTTATTCTATAAATGCGTCAGAATATGGTAATTTTTATTCACAGAAATTCACAGGAATTTTATATTGGTTGGATAAAACGTGATTGATGTTCACCGAATACGTTCGCTCGCCTGCCTACTTGCTCGCCCGAGAGAGAGAGAGCGAGCGAGCGAGCGAGAGAGAGAGAGAGAGTTTATATACTCATATTATATACTCTTTCTATTGTATTATATTATAAATTATATAAATTATATTATAGTATAGTATAGTAATATTAAATTTATGTAAATAACAAATATTATAATATTGATATATATTAATATATAAATACATTCAATTATGCAAACAAAATTGTGCTTTGCACTAACAATAAGTAGAGCATTGCATAAAAATATTTTTTTCAATAAATAATCATCAATATTGATCAAATTAAGATTATTTCTCTTAATTTTTTTTTTATTATAGCGTTATTAGGAAATGCTCACTGTTAATAGCGAAGTCGCTGTGTCACTGAATGATTATTATACCATGTTACTTTACATAGATACGAATTATAATTAAATAAAAAAGACACTATCGCAAGTCAAATATAAATGTTATCATATAACGTTAGTCTTGAGGTCATAAAGAAATTACTCAACTTCAGTTGATAACCTGCTTGACTCAGACTTTGCCTTCATCACTCTCGCAAAAATCTCGTATATTGTACTCAATTATAACGTTATACCGATAAGACTGTCGTCTAATATTGTTGATACGTCGTTAGAGCCCCCTTTCCCTCTCTTTCTCTCTTTCTCGCCTTTCCTGTCACCAGCGAATTAAGCAATTACGACGGCAAGCATCTCCCAAAGAAAGGAAGGGGCGCGAGGGGGATCGCTGTCACGCGCAATTGTGACCTTAATTGTATCCGGAAAATCGACACGTGACTAACGGAGGAGAGAGGTGAACGATCGTCGAATACCGCACGGATGTTGAAACGACAAACTTTGGCACATCCTTCTCTCACGCGCGATAGAATGACGGCGAGAGAAGATAAACCGCGACGTCATCTCCGAGTGTCATTAGAGTAATTACCACCCGACGCCTCCCTGTCTCTCCCCGCCTCATCTGCACCACGTACGCTAAGTAGTTGCAAGCGAAGTTTCCGCAAAAAATTTTCCACGCGTACGCGCGCACATACAAAAACTGGTGTCGTTTATTGTCGCTCTTTGATGCATGTAATAATCGCGAAAGAATCTTTCATGAGAAGCCGCCTGCAACTCATTTACGTTATTTCCACGACTTACGGCACAAGAAACTGTTCGATTGAACTGTGCAACGAACTTGAACTAGATCGTGCATAGCTGTTGAAAAAATAATAAACATTTTTTATCTTTTCAACAACTTCATACCGCTTTCTATTTACCGTTTTCTCATGCACACGCCAGACCGGAGTTTCGAATTCTTGCTCCGCCAAAGTATTCTGACACCTCCTTAAGAAGTTTTTCGTAAATTAAATTTCGAATATAAATAGAAATCAATAAATAGCAGAGTTTTCCTTAATAAATCTGATCTTATCGATAATCTCAGTTCGGGTTGAATCGCAACGAGTTTCGGCAACGAAATACGAAATACTAAAACGTAAAGAAAAATATGTTAATTTCACGCACGTCAAGAAACACATTAGCGAAATGTTAGTCAAGTATTAGCCATTGTCAGGCATTTTAAGTAGAAAACGTAATACCACGTACTCGCTTTCGCGTCGAGTTTTCTTCTAAGAGACTCGTCCTGCTCCTGACAATATTAATTCAGATTATAATACTATAATCATTATCGTTATTATAATTTTTGCCAATTAAGTGAAATCTCAATAAACGTTGTTTGCGAAATTGCAGGTATAATTTCCCACGTCCCCACGTCATCCAAGTTAGCGGATGGATCTCGGAAGCTTCACCAGGGAACAAGATGCTGTCTTGCGGTCGTACTGCCGTCTTGCTGATGTCGGTGCGCATCACAGCGACTTGGGGTAAATTGACGAGATGCAGTGTGGGTGGCCGGTATATGTACAGGGTACAATGTGACGAGCGTTAGCCGAAATGGTCGACAATGTCTCGCAACAAAGTCCCGGCTAAAGTTATTCGGCGGCGGCTATTCGTCGCTCCAGTCTGCTCGCCCCCTGACTAGATAAGCACGGACACTCGGCAGATTCCGGAAACTTTACCCCCGGCAGTGATATCCAGCCACCCCGGGCCGAGTTCCGGCAAGTAATCGCTAATTAATTGCATTCTGTAATCAACGGGCCGCTCGCCGGTCGTTTTCATACGACGTGTAAACTCCGTGTCTGTTTGCTCGGGCGAGAATTATGGTATCCCGTACGGCGTTAGCAGTGCACCTGTATGGATAGAAAAAACAGCCGGCCAGGTTCCGTCGCGTCGGGTAGGATGCAGCGCTAGTAATGTTTTATTGAAGAACAACAAATATTTCGAGAACACGCTGCAGGTTTATATAAGCACGCGGTGCTCTCGTCGAACGCTTGATTCGATTGCTAAATATTTTCCTACCAATTGTTTCAGCGTTTCACCGTGGCGCATGAACCGCCGAATGGTATTTTTACGAAAATACCTGCCGCTCCGGCGCCGTCGCGCCTCGCCTTACGGCAGATCCATCAAGCGCGAATATAACAAATAAATTATCGCGAAGCTGTCAGTGCGCACCATCGTGAATAATATATGACGTCGAGCTAATATAAAAGATAATATATGGAACAAAACTTCATTCAATATTCATTTGTATAATACATTTTTCATAAGAGCGTCAGGAAATATGCAACAATATTTAAACGTTCGCTTAGCATATTAGATAAGCAGTATCACGAATTATGTTGCGCACATGTCGGGTATTATCTAAAAGTACACACAACTGTTCATTTGTGCTAAATATTAAAAGCCAGAAATATATACGCTACCTATAACTCTCATAAATGTAGGAATCAATTTTTGTATTATAACCACAGACTTCTATGTGCTACACTGACAAAAAAATTTTCTTAAACTAAGTAAATAGATTTACTTAAAATTATTTTTTGTTGCATTGATGTTTTGGTTGTTTTGCATTATCATGTCTTTGGTCTTGGCTTATCTGTAATATACAGGGTGAGTCTTTCCATATCCGACAAAATTTTTGAGAAGGTAGAACGGATCGAGATGAACGGAAAAGTCCTGTACCATTTTGCAATTTTCGTTCATCTCGATCCGTTCTACCTTCTCAAAAATTTTGTCGGATATGGAAAGACTCACCCTGTATATGTATATCTCATCGAGGCTTCGACCGCTAGATTATAATAGTAATGCAATGTTTCTAAATGTCGATAAACACCGACATGTAAACATTTCAAACGTTCGAGATGTTTGAAAAAGGCAAATAAATAACGAATCGATCGGACGGGGCGGGACTTTCCGTCTGTTCGCTAGCAAGAGATCACTGTTATACAATATTAAAATTAAGTTAGAATATATAAATCTCAAATTATTCATATTAAATCTAAAAGTCACAATTTGGCAGATAGATTTTACTTTATTATAATGTGACTATTGTAAATTTTCCTAATAAGATAGCGATTGCAAAATCAATCAGGCCCCCTGGTGTCGCCAGAAACACGCATTCAATTTCCGAAAATTAATGAAAATTGCGAAAATGTTCGCGCGATACGTCCGCAACTATATCGCGTTCTTTTTCTTTCGTTTTGTCGGATTTTTCAACTTCTTTCCGGGCCAGCAAGTGACCTTGGACAGTAGCAAACGCCCGGGCAGGTCGTCGGTAATTGACCCGACTTCATCTTTCTCTCTGTTAACCGCGACCATTTTTCGCCGTTTGTACAATACATTCGGTGATAGGAGAACATTGAGCAGCGGCAACGCGATGGAAGCAACCCCTCTGTACTATCTTCGCACACACGCAAAAGTGGAAACGAAGCGGCGCTGTTTAATTCATGAATCAGCGGGATCGCGTGGGCGCGGAAGATCGTCTACAAATTGCTTCGTTTAACCGAGCCGGGGGTCTGTAGGAATATTTCAGATCCGACGTTTGTCCGAGGGTTAAGATGTTAACCACAAGTCTTTGTCCGTGATGTGTGTTGAACCTCGGGATTCCGGTCAGGTAACGAACCATCGAAAATAACTTTTTCATTTTAATACCGTATTTTTTATTTCAATATGAAAGTAAACGTGGTAAGTGCTGCCCTTATGAACACAGATTTGTTAGAGGGTTCGTAATAACAAGTTTGTTAATACTTTGGGAAAACTTGATACATATGTAGAGGACTTTATTATGCGATACACGGAAAAAAAAATTTAGCTGCATATGGACAGCTAATATTTTTTAGTTGTGATAGCTAAATATTTTGCTACGACAGCAAACCATTTGCTGTCGTAGCAAAATATTTAGCTATCACAACTAAAAATATTAGTTGTCCATATGCAGCTACATTTTTTTTTCCGTGTAGGAT